TTCTAGTCAACCTTGGCTTCTTGGCTTGTACTGCCAGCCCCTCCTGAAAGTCTCATCACAAGGAGAAAGGAGAGTTGATGAAATCACTCCCACTAAGATCCTTCTAGAGACTTAACATGTTGCTCCAACCTCTTAGAGCATTTCTGTTTTAAGACAAAATCCTTAACCCAAAGCAATGGTATTGCAAGTGTCAAATTCCTTTATCTACCCCCTCAGAGCTCTTCTCTTTCATGTAAGTCAGTGATTCTCAGCCCCAACTGCACATTAGAATCACCCAAGGCATGAATCAAAAAAAACACTGATGCCTGAGCCCTAGTCAAGACCAATTAAATCAGAATCCCCGAGGGTGTAGCCTAGGACTTGAAATTTTCTAAGAGCTCCCCTGGTAACCCTAATCAGCAGGTTTGTTTGAGATCAATCAAAATGCCCATCTCAGGTAGACTCCTGAGGTCAATTGATGCATAAGGAACCACAGAGGGGCAAACAGAAGGTTGAGAAGGCAGTTCTAAAATTGTGACTGTGTTCACCTAAGAAAGTTCTGGGGAAACAACTGACAGAGCAAACTCTGGAGTCAGACGAGGCAAGTTTGTGTCAGTGCTGCACACACCGTCTGTGTAGCCAGGTACATCAGTCCCTTGACTTGTAAAACGGGGCCAAGACTAACACCTACCTCTCCTAGGACCATTATGAGTACAAATACTTAGAACAGTGTCTGTCCATTACTGTCACATCCTTCCTGTGCTGCTGCAAATTTCACCCACTCTGTAAAACTTCCGTTGAGTCACTCAGGAAGTGTAAATCACCCCCTTCTCTGGCCTCACACTTTCTCCACTGAGACTAACATTATTTACCTATTTATCACTTGGCATTGCAGCTGGTGGCCTTCCTGTCTGTCTCTCCCTTGTGATAGTTTTCTGTTAAGTCTGATGAATTGTTTTGCACTAAGGAAGGCGACTTGATCATAAGGAAATAACCATCAATCCTTATTTTACTGATTATTAAAATCACCCTCCCCTATTTTAACTCTCTGAGAAAGTAGAAGCCACCAGAGGAGAACTTCTGCAAGCTCCTACTACCACCTCTACCCACTGCCTCCTTACCCACCGCCAACCACTTCCCACCATCTGCATCTGTGCCAATATACCCACCTTCTTTCCATTACCATGGATACATGATCCATTCTTTTAGTAAAAGCCACCCCCTCCACTGGTCCATGAGGTCTCATACATTCTTGTCTACTGAGACACCTGCCTTCCGGCTTGACCAACGTCAGTAAATTGTCTGGTCTTCCTGGTGCCTTGGAAACAAAACACAGATGGTGCTCAACATTGCACAGGGACTCTAGAGTTCTGTAAAATTCATCTATTACCTAGATATTATTCATTAAAAATAAATAAAGAAAAACCCTATACCCAATAGGACCTCAACTTTAATATTAACAATAATGTTAATATTAATTTGGGGCCATTATTCATCCATTAACATTAATGTTAATATTAAAGTTAATATTAATATTAATAGCAACTAGGGAAAAAGCAAGCCTCAGCCAGAACTTGTGAGTCTTACTAGAATGTGTAAGTTACTAGCATTTATTTAACTTCCCTGAGACTCAGTTTCCTCTTTTGTAAAGCAAATCAGTGTAAAGATTTAATAATACAGAGCTTAGCACAGATGTCTGGCACATAGCAAGTGCTCAGTAAACATTGGCTATTATTATTGATTCATCCAAGTCTTTCCTTAAATATTTCTTTCTTATAGACCCCTTCCTTAAACACACTGTCTAAAATAGTACCAGTCATGTTACTCTTTTTTATCCTGTCTCATTTATTTTCTTCATAGACTTTATCACTACCTAATGTTGTATGTCTGTGACTCTGTGTGTGTGTGTGTGTTTGTGTATAAAATCTATCTTCCCAACTGTAAGTAAAGTCCATAAGAACAGAAACTTTGTTGGTTCACTGCTAGGTCTGGAATAGTGTCTGGCCCGTGGTAGCACTTAATAACTATTTGTTTAACAAACGAATGAATGATTATATTCCACAGTGCTAAAAACTTTAGGCAGAATCATGCCAAAATTGCTTGAAATAAAGATAACTTATCTTATTTTTAATTTTCAAATTTAGTAAACCATTCCAGTTTTTAACAACACTGTTAAGAAATACTTTTTTATGACAACTAAGTCATTAGCATTAAGAAATAGTTTATGTGAAATCTAACTTTCTCTTCCTTCCACTCTCTAATTTATGGATTGGAGAACTACTAATCACTACCTTCCAAGTGACATTTTTTGAGAAAAGACCATTAATAAACCCCTCCTCAGCTTCCTCGTTTCCAGGCTGAGAAATCTCAGTATCTTTACTTTCTAATGATTAAAAGTATATGGTTCGGGTAAAAATACATGGTTTGGGATTTGTAGACACTAACTATTGTACATAAAACAGATAAACAACAAGGTCCTACTGTGTAGCATAGGGAACTATATTCAATATCTTGTAATGACCTACAGGAAAAAAGACTATGGAAAGGAAAATATGCATGTGTAAATGAGTCACTATGCCATACAACAGAAATTAACACCACATTGCAAATCGACTGCACTTCAGTTTAAAAACTACGGTTCTATATTTTTTTTTTCTGAATCTCATCCAGAATCATCACATCTCTGTTTGGAGTTCAGAATCGAAAAGTGTTTTATTACTGATCACTGCAAAGCGTAACTCCTAAGTTACCTCACAAACTATCCTGTGGTTCTCATATTTATATACCTAGGAATTGTGCGTTTGTGTTTTACTGAGTTCCATTGCTGCCTGGTTATTCACAATGACCTCAGGAACTTTTTCTGCCTAATTTACATGTACCCAGCTCATCCTCATCTGCTGAACAAGGAGTTTGTGTTGCTCCTCAAGTTCCTCCCTTTAACCAAGCTTCTTTCTGTCTCTGGCCACTGTTATGGGCTGATGTGTGTCCTCTTAAACTTTGTAAGATGAAGTCCTGGCCCCAAGTACCTATAGTGGGACTGAATTTGGAGATAGGGCCTTTAAAGAGATGATTAAGGTAAAATGAGGTCACTAGGGTGGGCCCTAATCCAATCTGCTTAGTGCACTTACAAGAAGAGGAGATTATGACAAAGAAGCACAGAATAAAACTCTGTGAAGACAGAGAGAAGACAGCCATCTACAAGTCAAGCAGAGAAGCCTCAGACAAAAACCAAGCCTACCAACACCTTGATCTCAGACTTCTAGAATCTAGAACTGTAAGAAAATTAATTTCTATTGTACAAGCCATTCAATCTGTGCTACTTGTTAAGGTAGTCCCAGCTGACTAGCACAACCACCTTTCCAGTTTGCCAAGAATGCTTTGAATTCTGATTCTGTCTCCCACGGTGCTGGACTCTGCTTGCAAAGTGCAATCTGCTGTTCTACTGTGGTTAACCTTTGGCACCCTGTGTGTTCTCTTCCGGGTTTTCGAAAATTAATTCCAGAAGGAAAACACCCAAAAGAAAATGGGCACCAAGTTTACTGCACATGATAGAATCTTGAAAGGTAAATTGAACTCTAGCCTTGGTTCCAGTTCATGGTTGACTACCTTGAAGGAAAACTGGAAAATTACCCAGGAGCAGTTAGGTGTCCTGGAGGCCAGCATTAAAGGCATCGCCCTGAGACCCAGTAATTGAGGATATGGGGTGAAATGAGCTTATCAAGGGAATGCATCTGTGCAGAGCAGGTACTGCCATGGACTGAGCTGTAGGAAGCAAGTAAAGTCAGAAATGGAGCCAGAGAGGCAGCTGATGAGGCAGGAAGAGAACCAGGAAAATGCTTAAGGAGCTTAACAATCAACAGCCAGGGGAAAAGGAGGATCACCTCCAGATAACTTCGTCAGTGCTTCATTCTTTCAGCCAGCACGCATCACGGAGTTCCTCTGGGTGCTGGACGCCATGCAAGGTGCTGGGCGTACGGTAAGCAGGCAGTGAGAGTGAAGGGATGTGTAAGGTGCGATGAGGACTTAGTTTGCCTGAGCCACTCAGCAAAGGTTTCCCAGACAAGGAACTGTTTGAGCTAAATCTGGAATAGCAGTAGTTTGTCAGGTAGATGCCAACTAGAAAGCATTAGAGACAAAGGAACAGAAACTGTCTAAAGCCCGAAAGAGTGAAACCCACACTGCATTCCAGGACCTTTGAAGTAGTTGTTCAGTATTGCTGAGAAAGTGTGTGTGTGTGCATTTGTGTGTGTGTGTGTGTTAGTGACCTCAGATAGAGCTGATTAATTATGGGGAATGACATACTTTTTCAGGCAGTTTATTTATTTTAACATGAAACATTTGAGTTTCTCATAAAAATTCTCATTTTGTATGTCTCCATCAAATGCCGTGGCATTTTTCTTATCTCTGCAGTTAGCAGTGAAAAGAAAAACTCTACTTCATTGAACACACACAAAAACCTTTGAATTGGTCCAATTATTGTAAAGGCTAAAATGTTAAAACAAGTTTAATAAGCACTTTCTACCCCTGAACTAAAGTTTTGCTGTTTCAAGGAAAATTATCTTCAACTGATAAAAGTGCTCTTTAATCTACCACACATAATAAAGGGAAAGCAGCAAAAATGGTAAGCTAAGGAAATCCAAATTTATAAAGAACCATTTAAATAACAAAATCAGATTGTCACAAAATGAGACCATTCTAGTCATATTTGAATGCAAATCTCTTGGTCTCTCAGGACCTAGGATCAGGATTCAGCACTAAAAATGTTCACATTTTACTTAATTTACCTGCCTGTGTGAAATAATTTCACGGTCAATGTGTAGTTAACTTGGCTCATCAAACCACTTGCCGGGTAAATAGACTCAAAGAAATATCTTGGAAGTGCTCATGGCTCTTGTGTGTTTGAGAGAGACAGACAGACAGACAGAGATTGACAGGAAGAGACAGAGAGAGGCAGGAGAGCCAGTGCTTTCTTTCTCAATCATATTTTGGGAGTTTTTTAATTAAATTTTTTGTCCTTTAAGGTCATATACTGTAAATGCCCTTACGAGGAATACTTGATTGCTAGAGGTTAACCACTACGTTTGAGTGAAACTGTGGATGGGACTATAGGTAACTATCTCAACTCACCTACATGGTCCGGGATTCCAGAGTGGACTTCCTTCCTTCTAACCGCTCCCTCTTCTGTGTATCCTTTCACTGCCTGTGCTCTGGCCTCTGCATCCTAAGCGAAACCACCCCCTCCCACCACCATCAGTATGATCAAACAGCTCCCTTCCACCTTGTTGAACCTTCTCCTGCACTAGACTGGCAGTGCTCTTTAACTCATTTATCTTTGTGGTCTCCCCTTCCTCACGGCCTGTTCATATCCTAACATCTTAAACAATCTCTGTCTCTGATACCCTACTAAAATTGCCCTTTAATGATATGTATTCTTTTTTAACATTTTTTATTGATTTATAATCATTTTACAATGTTGTGTCAAATTCCAGTGTAGAGCACAATTTTTCAGTTATACATGAACATATATATATTCATTGTCACATTTTTTTTCTCTGTGAGCTATCATAAGATCTTCTGTATATTTGCCTGTGCTATACAGTATAATCTTGTTTATCTATTCTACAATTTTGAAATCCCATCTATCCCTTGATATATATTCTTAATCACAAAACGTAGTTGCTTTCCCTTCTTGACTTCCTCAATATTTGATGATAAATCTTTACTTCTTCTTTGACATCCCTACCCTGGATCATACTGGTTCTCTTCACTCTCCTTCTCTTCTCTTCTGACTTGTAAGCCCCTAAAAGTAGGTATTTCTCAAGATTCTCTTCTCTCTTTAAAGACATTGCTTTGAGGATCTTCCTCATTCCCACAGTTTCAACTGTTAAAGGAAGATGACTCCCCAGTTTTCCTTCATTCTTAGCCTCTACTGCTGTCTCGACCTTCTTATGTCCAAAGCCAGACCCAACACCTTCCCCTGAAGCTGGTTGTACCTTGAGACTTTCTCCTCATACCCGATTAATAAGACTCTTCTCCCAGTCCAAATTAAAAGCTTTGAAAACCCTGTGGCTTCTCCCTCCCACTTCTAACAAGATGCCAAGCCCCACAGTGTCTTCTTCCCTGCACCCCTCACATAACTCTCCATCCCGTTTGCACTATCACCGCTCTAATCCAGCCTCTCGTTGCCTTTTTCCTGGGCCATTACCCTAGTTTCCGAATAATCCCCCCTCATTCTCTTCCTTTTTTAATGCAGCCGTAGCCACTGACAGCTGTAAGCCTGGGCTCAAAAGCCTGTAGTGCCTTTGCGTGGCCTACTAAACTAAATCCAAGGGAAGGTGGCCTTAATCCGTATCAGATACATCAGGGTGTCTGTGTGTCTATAAGAGGGCCAGTGGGCTGCCCCGCTGCACATTAACGCCATCAGAGTTGTGTCCCATGGAAGTGTCTCGCCTCAAGAGGAATATAAGCACAGAGTTCAATCAGAATACAGTGAGCAGGATGGGGAAATGTCAGTGATCATGTCGTATAACAGGTGGTTAAAAAATAGAGATATTTTGGTCATTAGGACCACAACTGGAAAAAAAAAAAAAAGATAGCTGACTTTGGAAAAGGACTTGTGTTCCCTGTGGCCATGAGAGGTAGGACTTGAACGAATAAATGAAAGTCATAAGAAAAGTGATTTCAGTTCAATATAAAAAGAAAATAGAACTAAACAAAGTTGGGACAGGAACTCTCAAGAGGCAGCAGATTCTTTGTTATCAGAGGTTATTTAAACTGGATGCATCTGTGAGAATGTCACAGAGTTGACTCAAGAAATAATTCTTTTCAGCCAGGCAGTTGTCTGCACGGCTCTTTTTCAGCCTTGCATGCAAGGCCAACCCACCTTCCAGCTTTCTCTCTCTGTTTCCATATGTGCTCCTGCTATTCCCCAGCTGCAATTTCCTCGACTTAACATTTTCTCCTGTCAAAATTTTACCCATTTTTCAAAGGTCAAATCTAATGTTACCTTTTTTAGGAAAATTTCCCTCCTCCCATCTCAGATGCCGTGAGTTTTTGAGTTGTTCTTCTGCTCCAAGACGTCAGCACTGCAGGTGTCCATTTTAAGGCACTTAATATTTTGCTCATGTTATTTGTGTATATTTCCCCTTTTGCCTATTAGGATGTCAACTTCATGGGGCAGGAATTACCTTTCTGTCCTCTATAGGACCTAGAATAATGGAATTCCTTTCTTAATCATTCAACATATATTTCTTTTTCTTTAGAATTGAGAGACTAGACTAAATCATCTCTAAGGAGCCTTCCAGCTTAAGAAAAAGTCCTTGAATCTGGCTCTACAACTTATTTAATAATAAATGTGCCAAAGGCCTCCTGTGCCATATTGACTATAAATACAAAGAGTCAGGTGTGCTGATGTCACACTGGATGTGTAAGAAAGTTTTTAAAATCTAGTTTTGAAAAGTAGGTAATTTTATTTTACAAGAACTTTTGCAACATTCCTATTAAGATATTCAACACATGTTCCTGAGAATTTTGAACATTAAAAGAATTGCACATCTGGTTATATCTTTATGAAATTAAGTGACGGTAAATCAGAGCCCCACATATAAGGGCTATATAATTAAGAACATCAAAAAGGTAAATAGTGAACTCTGGCAAGACTTAAGAAAGGGAACATCTTATTGTGATATATCAGAAATTTTTACCAGTCATTTATACCTACCGTTTCTTCCTCTCTTTATAGCAGTACAGGACTTTTCCATTGTTGCTGATTTCTTTTTGGCAAATTACTGCCACAAATCCAGATGTTTCTCAGTGTGCATTCATAGGAACTTGTCCAAATTTCAGAGGAAGGGCTGTTAGACTAGGCTAGATAAAGCAAGGAAAACAACAAAACCCAGAGCAACTTAGAAAACAAAGCTTGAATTTTTTTTATGTGTTTCAACCACTTTCCCCCCCTTTTCTCTCTCATCTACGTTCAAATTGTGGGGAGAGGGCTAAAAGCCAAATTAATTGAAAGACATGACCCTTACCTTCAGGAAAATCCAAGCATAAGGGAGTTTAGTGAGGTGGTTTGATCAAGTCAGAAGTATCTTTTATTTTTGATCCGTCTTTGGAAACAATCTGTGGAATCTTTTGACTGTCAGTCATTAAGAGCTCCTTCGAAAAAGTTTGAGAGAAAGCTGGTCTGAGGCAAATGCGACGCTTTCAAGAAGGGGAAGTCCTGTGACTCCCTGACCATGTGAGCGCCCTGGGAATTAACAAAACTCAGTGATTTCCTCTAGGCATGGCTTATGCTTGCCTTTCTCCCCTCTGACTTCCCCTCCCTCTCAGCCTAAACAGGAGAAGGTCAAAATGATATGGTCCAAACACAGTCAGTGAGAAGGTTTCAAGTATTTTCCTTTTCAGTTGGATGCATGCTCTAAAGGAAGAAAAATTTAGTATTAACAAGTTGCAGTCAGAGTCACGCTGCCCAATTATAAGTCTGATTTCATACTTTTCTGATAAATTGACGAAGGGGCTAAAAGATATTAAAATTTAATGTGGGCCCCTTCCCCCTTTTTCTGGTATTAATTAATTAAAATAAATTTATAGATATGAAAGGAGCATGGTTGGAAATAATCAAACTTTCTGACATTATTACCTAAAAGATGCTTTCTAACAGAAATGGTGTAGGCATTGAGTGTTGACAGACCATTCAGAATTAACTTGGTTTTCAGCGAAAGTGGAACATGAGGACTGATAATTAAGTATCGATTTTTCTTTTCTTATAAACGTGCAATGTATCTTGTGTTTCAAAGACATCAGCCTTGTTTTGCAGGAGAATTGAATCTTCTCTGGAGCTTTAATCTACACAAATGTAGGAGCTCTCTGCGGTAACCTGGGTAGGATAATGGTGGCTGCTTCAGCTGAACCTTGATGTAAAGCACTTCTCCAGTGCAGAGACTCACAGAGGAAGTGGATCTGGGGTATCGGCACACTGAGTAACTGCTTTATGCAATTTATACTCTCTTAAGTCTAATTGGTAGACTGGAAAGCATTTTTTTTAATCATTATTCCATGTGGAATATTTCTGCCATAAAGAAGTTAAATCTCATAATCCCTTCCTGGAAGCTTGTCTGGTACCTGGAACATCAAAACAATAATCAGTCTTTTATTTTCAATGTAAACAATTTATAAAATGAAAGATGTATCATATTCAAAAAAGCATAGGTAAAGTATATGTAATCTAAAAATAACTTATATCTACCACCCAGCTGGAAAAATAGAACAAATAGAGCATTAACAATGCCTTGAAGTCACCGGTATGTCCATCCCCAGTCCCATCCACCAGTAGGCCCCTCAACCATCCCCCTGAATTTTGTGTTTATCAGTTCCTTGCTTTTCTGTGCAATTTTACCACTTACGTATGTTATCTCTAACATGTGTGTATGTGATTTGGTGAGTTTTTAATGTAATATTAAAAAAATCATCCTTTTTTTCTGAGAACTTGTTTTCCTTAACCTGTTTGTGGGACTCACTCATCTATTTGTGTGCAGCTCTGGCGCATCTGTTTCTGGCAGTTGTATACGTGGAAATGATATTCTTTTTCCTATTGATCAACATTTGGATTGTTTCCAGAATTTTGCTGTTGTAACTGATGTCGCTATGAACAGCCTTATCTGTGTATCTGAGACAGTAATTGCTGGGTTGCAGGGTGTAGGTACCTTAGCTCTGCTGGATAATCCCCAGCTGTTTTTTAATTTGGTTTCCCGCAGCTTATAGGAGTTTCTGTTCTTCCATAGCCTCACCAAGACTTGATATTGTCATCCTTTTTTTTTTTAGTACATTTGGTGGGTCTTAAGTGGTATCTCATATTTTTAATTTGTATTTCCCTGATTACTCACGGTGTTGGACATATTTTTAATGTTTAATGACCACTCAGTTCTGATTTTTTGCCCATTTTGCTGTTGGAATGCTTCACTTTTATTTGTTGACATTTTAAATTGTGAAATATAGTATAAAAATAAAACTACACAAAACATCTATGTACAGCTCAACAAGTCATTTCAAGAAAATATTCATGTAAG